GGCAGGGTGGCTGCTTCTGACACATGTTAGCTAGCCGTGTGACCCTGGGCAAGTCCTTTACCTTCTCTGTGAAACCATCTGTTGTTGAATTGCCCATCTGCATTGATGGGCAGAATTTTCACACTGGAAGCTTTTTACACTGGTGAAATTTCAAGTCTTGTCCAAAAGGAAGTAAAAGCTACTCATATTTATGTAGCACACATTGCAACAAATTCTTTTTCCTTACAACAGCTGTGAAAAGTAGACAAGTGTATCCTCATTTTACAGATGAGAAAACTGAGTCTCAGAGAAATCGCACAAGGCCTACGCAACCACTCCATGTCCAAGCTGACCTCCAATACAGGTCCATGGTACTTTCCTTCCTCTCTTAGTAGATGACAGAGATTGTCTTCCTTTAAGGTTTGCAAAGCACTTTCCTGGGCGGTCCTATTTGATCCGCCTCACTACCCTCTAAGTTAATGATTAGCATGACCATTTTACAGATGAAGAAAAACCAAAGAAGGGACAGGCAGGTCCTCCAGCCCAGGGCCTCTCATTCTCGAGCTCTTCCTGCTAACCCACAAAATAGCTTTCATTTGTGGCGGCTGGTGGAGAAGATGTCAGAAGCATGATCAGGTGTTCATTTTCCACTAATGGAGCACTGGATTTAGAGTTGGAGCTCCTAGGATCGCACCATGGTGCTAACTGTTCACTCTCTGACTTTAGACAAGTCATCAAGCCTTGCCTCAGTTTTCTATTCTGTAAAGGGGGTGGACTAGATCATCTCTAAGGACCTTTTCGGCCCTGAATTTGATTCTAAGATTTTTAGAAACCTTTTATGTACAAAGAATAAGCTAATGCCACCCGATATAGGAGCCCCTAGAAATAGAAAGCTGAGCTTACCATGTGAGCCAGCCCCAGACATTTAAATAACTCAATTGATTTAAAATGCTAACAGCCCTAAATGTTAAATAAACAACCTTTTCCCCCAGTAGGAATAAGCACATAATGAAGGCAGGTTTTTAGCTCATAAACTTAAGGTTCTAAAGTAGAATATTTACCTGAGATACAGTGGAGGAACATTTTTCTTTTATAGGGACCCAGTTTCTGATATTTTCAATATGATTCTCTATGGCTGCTGATCCTGGAACACCAAGCTTTTGAAGAAACTGGTGCCATAATTCTATGACTACAATAGATCCAGTCAAAGTTGTGCTTTAAAAATGTCTGTTGATTCTCTGATATTTCTAATGATGACTGAGACTCTGCAATATTCATAGTTATAAAAAAGATTGACTGCACTGTATTGGCCTTAGGCAAAAGATCACTAATTTTAGGAATATTTTTACCAAAAAAAAAAAAAAAAGGTTGAGAATGTGGATTCTGAACTTGATTGTGTGAGCATCCCCTTCATCAATGCACATTGCAACCCATTCTTAACTTTTCATCCTGTGTAATTTCTATTCATGTGCTTCTGTAAATCATTCATACAGGATCTACCCTGCGCAATGGAGATTTTCCTACTAAGCCTCACAATATTCATGAAAAACAATGCAACATACTCACTGACGATCTGCACTCTCTCACTCTCACTCTCGTTTACCCTTCCTCTTATATATATCTCGGTGGTACCTTTTACACCTTTTCTTATACCCAAATAATCATTGATAATTTACAGCCATTATGCATAGATTCCTTGCAGTTTCTTCAAAAGCTTGGTGTTCCAGGATCAGCAGCCATAGAGAATCACTGAGAAAATGTTGCACTTTGAAAGGTTTTGTGTCTGCAAAGTTTGTGATTATTGAAAAAGCTGTACAGTTTCTCAAATACAATACAACTTGTTCTCATCCTTTTTAATGTGACCCACCTCATTGCCCATTTGCGGTACTTGTCCAAGATACTGTGTGCTGATGGGCAGGTTCAATGGGCTGTCAGTCCACCTATAGCCATAACTAGGCAATATACATTCTTTTTCCACTTGTTTTTTTCTGAGTGGACTACAAACTCTGTCTCATGGATCTCATTAAGGAAAACCCCGTTGTATTCCAGAGCTGACGTGGTCATCACAAACTGAACTTTAACCAGGAGCACCTGGAGAACCTTATCATTAATAGGGAATCCCTTTCCATTTGGATTGTTTGCCCAGCATGGTCCACGATACCGCTAACAATTTAAACTTGTATATTTTCCCTTGTATGATGCATTTGATATCATTGCTCAGGATCATTGAGGAAAGTTCTTTGTTGTTAGTTACAGCTATCAAGAAATCTTCTGTGATCTAACATATGCATGGGAAATCTCTTGTTGTAGGAAAATCTTTAAGGCTATTTTTCACCAGCACATTAAATCTGTTTTAAAAAAAAAATCAAACCGTAAACATAGCACATTCTTATATCTTCTACCTTCAGTCAATTTAATGACTCTAGCTGTGGTCTGCTATTTGAAAAATCATCTTTCAAAGCCTTATTGTTCCCTGCTAAGATTTCAGGAAGGATACCCTTAAAATTCATGTAGATTATTCTCAGAAGAAATTTCTGGAGGTGAGGATGTAAGTCTCTGATGCTTTTTTGGTAATCATACTGTCCATAATCTTTTCTAATCTTTTGAAATCTTCCCCTCTTTGAGATCACTTGGAAATCAATACCCAAGCACCTTGTGTTGCCTATGGCAAATGAAGAAATTGGAGGTCCCGTCTAACTCTAAACCTGTGGTCCATGAGCATTATTTTTCCTTCATGTGTGTCTGGTCAGGCCCAGCTGCTCTTCCCAATTTCATTCTCCTAAGTGCCCTGATTACTTCTTCCTCATTGGGTTAATGCCCCATGATTGTTTCACTGTCGTTGTTGGTGAGAATGGATCACTATGAAAACACTTAACAAATTTGTTCTGAGTGGTGTCAAGAAAAGGTTTTATGTATAGTGCCGTTAATCAAGGAATGATTAATAAATACTGTAGTATTTCAAGGGATCAGTGATGTGTTTATTCTAGTACTTAAACTAGCTCAGGGGGCAGCAGCCCACTCAAATCCTTTCATAAGCGTTCCTGGGAATAGTACTCAGCATATCAGCTTTCCTCTGAGAATGAACATTCCCTGGCTACCAGTGCTCTGCTTGGGCCAGCCATCATTACATGATTGGCCTAGCACCTTGTCTGATCACACACGTCCTGCATGATACCTCTTGGGACATTTTTCATGTGCTAATCATCATGGTGATATGCTTTAGTTTTCTTAGACCATCCATATTTCTCTCTGTTGCCCTTTAGGTCAATCATAGTTTTAGTTCTTTGAAGCTTATGTTGTGACCTAATTTACAGCCGTATGGCACTTCTGGAAGAAAGTGTGTGTGTGTGTGAGAGAGAGAGAGAGAGAGAGAACAAACAGCTGGAAATCATTCATGTTAGTCCATTAATAAAATTATTAATAATTCAGATTTATAAAGCACTTTAAGATTTATAAAATGCTTTCCTCATGATAGCCTATTTCATTATTCCTGTTTTCCAGATGAAGAAAGTGAATGTCACTCAGGGAGGTAAGGTGACTTGTTCAGAGTCATATAGCGACAGGACTAGACCCCAGATCTAGATCCAGGTCTTTTAGATTCTTATTTTATTTGCACTCTCTTTCATTTCATTTTAATCATTATCATCTTACTAGAAATTGGTTTTTCTTTAAATACCTGAATATTTCAAGTATTACTTCAGCCCACTCATACCATAAATGATTTTGAGTTTCTATGGCCAGAAATGTTTATCTTCTTGGGATGAGCCTCTCTTCACTTTGTTGGCTTGGTCCTGCAAGGACACATGCCTGTTTCGTCATTGAACCCATACGGGAAGCCTTTTCGGCTCGTCATTGGACCTATCAGAGCCTCGGCTCTGCCAGCGCAGATCTTCTAGTATCCGGGGTGTCCCCACACCCTAGGGAGTCCGGGCCTCCTTTTCTCATGCCACCTCCTTCTCATCTGGAGAACCAGGGCAAGCGAAGCCTTCTCTGACAGCCCTTGGGAAAGCTCTGCAGAGATGTCGACAGGCAGAAGCTTTTGTGTGGAAAATTGTTCCATGTAGACTTTGTTTTACAAAATACATGCGTTGGTTTAAGAGTGACGATTTCTCATTGATCTTACTGAAAGATCCAGAGCAGGAGTGGGCCTCCTTCTGCAGCCTCCTTGTATAGAGGAGGAAGCGAGTCAGAGCACCTGCTCACCATCTTCTCACGCCTTCAGAATCCAATTCAGCAAACCTTTCTTAAGCAGTTACAAAGGGCGAGGTCTTCACTAAGCCCTTGAGAAGGCAAACTGCATAAAAGAGGAAATAGTCCACCAGTCCTTGTCTTCAGTGCCTCCTGTGTGCCAGGCACCATACTAGGCACTGGGGTTACGAACGAAGCAAGCCATGGTCTGATGGAGGAGTGGACAAGAGTGTGGACAGATATATACATCTCCGTGTGTGTACACACTGATGCTTTTTGCATGTGTGTGTGTGTGTGTGTGTGTGTACACGTACACGTACACACACAGCATCAGCATAAAGCGAGCAAAAACAAGGTATTTGGGAGGGAGGCCAGCAGTGGGGGCTGGGGGCAGTGTCCAGGGAGACTCATGCAGAAGATGGTCACCTGAGCCTGCATCTAATACGCAAAAAGTTTCCAGGTAAAGGACAGGTCAAGTCCAGGCAAAGTAGTCTGTAAAGTATAGGGAAGCAGAGAGGCCTTTGAGCTGGGGGGACCCAGAAAGTCTTCACAGAAGACTTTGCACCCGCACCTAAAAATGAGAAGAATTTCTTCAGGCTGAGATAAAAGGGGGGACACAGGCATTATGAGCCCATTCTGCAGGTGTGGAAAACCTGAAGTTCAGGGACGTTGTTGCTTGTTCAAGGTTGCACAGGCAGCAATATGTAAAGAATCTCTTGACTCTAATCCCAGAGCTCTTTTCCCCAGATCACACATTTGTAACATTTTTATTAATGCTGTTTATTTGATGCTAATATGTTGCTTGTGAAGTAAGGAATCTTTCATTTCTCCAGATAATCGGGCTTGAACTCAACCCAAATCAGCCTTGATCCGAAGGCCTTCCCATCTGTTAACTCACTGGATCGTCCCTCCGAGGGTAAGGAGATAAGCCAAGGACAGAGAGTACACCTCGAGTCGGGGCTCGAATCAGGAGCTTTGGCAGGCCCAAACAGACACAGAGGAGCAGAGAAACAGGAGGTGGTGGAGACTGTCTTCACTCTCCAGTTATCGATTCCAGCTGATTATCAGAGTTCTCAGGGAGTCCTTGCAAGCAGAGTTTGAGCTTTTAAAGAAAAATACACGTTCGCTTAAAAAGAGGGCTGGCCGAGCTTGTCTCTGCTTCAGAGATCGGTTCGGTTGGTTCTGTTTTTATAGGGCTAGACGTCAGAGGGCGTGGCCTAAAATTGGCTTTGTTCCTTCCTGCCTCTGCGACCACGGGCAGATCCCTTCCCCACTTTGCGTCTCTGCTTCCTCATCTGTAAAACAGAAGGATTTGACTAGATAACCATGATCCAATGAATCATTTCAAAATACATTTCTTGACTTCACTTTGTATCGATGTAATTGTCACTATTGCCATTTTAGAGACCTGTCTACAGCCTCTGCTGCTTTTGGGGGGTCCGTGGAGGATTAAAAGGGAGAAATTTTTATGTTTAGTAATTCAGGAAGCACAGAATATCTTAGCTGGAAAGGACCTTAGATCATCAAGGCCAGCATCCTCACCCCCACCCCCCAGTTTAGATGAGGAAGCTGGTTCACAAACATTGAAACTTGTCTGTGGCAGTCAGGACTTGAACTCAGCCTCCAGTGCTGTTGTGCCATTGCTCCTTGATTTCCAGACATCATCAGAGTAGTTCTGCCAAGATAGATGCTCTGATATCTTTTTCTTTTTAGTTTTTTTATTAATTTATTTTGATTTATCAACAATCACTTCCATAAGCTTTTGAGTTTTAAATATTTCTCCCCCCTCCTTCCCCCCGCCAAGATAGTGCACAATCTGATATAGAGATGCTCCTATTTCTACCTATTTTTTCTTATATTTTATGTACTCCAAGGTAGTCCATTATATCGTCCACTACTAAAATCCTCCCTCCTGGGCATCTTTTTGCCTAGGTGGTGACCTTGGTTTCTTTAAGGTGATGCCAGGGAAGCACTAGCCCTGGCAGGTCCTTTCCAGGCTGGAAAGATGTCAAGTGGTTGGATCTGGGAGCAGGCACTGGACCACTTGTCCAAGGACCAGCCAGCTTGAGCCAGTGGAGGGAGGCTCCTTGCCAGCCGGAAGGTTGGCCACAAACTTGGAGGACAGTGTACCAGTAGCAGGGGGTCCCAGGTCTGCCCACATCCAGGCCCCTTGTACAGCAAGTGACTGGACTTCGTTTCTTTCTCTTGGCAGGAGGAGGGGACATGTGTGATTGCCTTGATAGGCACACATGGCTTGAAAGGAAATCAGCCCCTCTCTCTGGTTCTTTAGTAAAAGCGTTCTTTCTAGGGCATGAGGTAGCTTTCACACTCCAATGGAAATGACAGTGAGAAGGACCCAGGCTTGTGTGCTAGAGGACCTAGCTTGAAATCTCAGCTTCTGTGACTGTGGCAATCCCCTTGCCTTCTGGGCCCTGGTTTCCTTCGCTGTCAGAGTGAAAGGGCACTTCCAGTGCTCAGGTAAGGGGCTCGTGTTCTGATATAGACAGCAGGCCCTGTCTTCAAACCAGAGGGTCTTGTGTTGGGGGACGTTTGGTGTCACATTTTAATTTTTAACATTAGGACAACTCACCTTCAGGAGGTGGAGCCTTGTTGGCTTCCTTCTTCGGAGCTGTGGCTGCTCCTTTCTGCTCACTCCTAGTCTTCTGGCTTCTAGCAAAATTGGCAGAGGACAGGATCTTCCAGCTAACAAACCTGTCTGGAGACACACGGGCAGCCTCCCCTCGACTGCAAGGGATTTACCTGGATCCACATCGGCGGAGGACCGTGCCAAGAAGAAGTTGTTGTTTCCTCTTCGGCCACAGAAGTAAAAGTAAATAGTTAAGAGAACTAACAATTGGACAGTGGTAGGTAAACTGAATGAAAGGTGCCATGCAGTTCCATCTTAATACAGTCTTTGATGTGGGCAAGGCCTCCGAGTCTGCCCCCGGACGTGTTTCAGGGGCTGAAATTTGTATCAGGTTATACTGTATCTGGTTCTGGAGGAGCTGAGCATTGTTTCTTCTTGATAGGCTGCGGCTGAATGGAAGGGGCTCCGGACTTATGCTCAGTTCAGTGCTAGGTTCAGTGATGACCCTGAATAAGTCACTTCTCCCCCGAGAATTCATCCACGGTCACACAGCAAGGAGGTGGCGGAGCAGGGCATCCATCTTGGGCTCCCCGCTCCTAATCCAGTGCTCTTTTCTATAGCTTGAACTCAGAACTGGTACCACCTGTGTTTGTTGGCTATACACGGCTGTCTTCTCTTGTAGACCTATACTCATCCTTCTCTTATGTTTGTTTTTTAGTCAAGCTTGGTAGTTAACTTAGAATCATATTTCTTAAAATCCATCTCAACTTTAACATTAATGTGTTAGCATTAATATTACTTGTTTAATAATTAGAGTCCTGGCTTTTTTGGTTTTGGGTTTTTTTTTTATTTGTTTGTTTGTTTTGGCTAGGCAATGGGGTTAAGTGACTTGCCCAGGGTCACACAGCTAGTAAGTGTTATGTGTCTGAGGCCAGATCTGAACTCAGGGCCTCCTGCATCCAGGGCCAGTACTCAATCCACTGCGCCCCCTAGCTGCCCCTGAGTCCTGACTTTTTAATAGTTTTTTCACAAGGCCTGGGAATATCCACATAGATTTAAAACTATTAAAACCCTTGTTATCCTTTTATTTATTTAGATTTTTCTTCTTTGGCTAAGATGAGATTTACAGAAGTGGGTCTGTTGAATTTGTTAGTATTAATCCTATTAAGCAAAGCAGGAATCTTCTTCTCTAACTTTTTTTGACTTTATGACTCTTAGTTGGGAATCCTAGTGGGTCTCATCTCCTTGAGACATCTCTTCTATTCATGTTTGAACACCAGGAGGTTGTGATATGGACCTGTTATACTCTCCACTAGTACAGTCTCTTATTTAAATAAAACACAAAACTAAATAAATAATATAATGAAATAATAAATAATATAATGAAAACAATCAGAGAATCATTTCTTGTATAATAAATTCTTTATCAAATTATGAAAATGTACAAGTTATTTTGGATTCTTAGTAATGTCAAAACCAATTAAGACCTTAGTAAATAATGAATAAGCTCCTACCCTCTGGTTCTGGAAAGAGCCAAGGAAGCATAAAAAAAAAAAAGGAAAAAGGTTCATCTTTGGCTAAATCTGTGAATTATATTCTTTTAGCCCTGTATTTCTCACTAGAATTATGAGATTTCACTGCTTAAGGGGACCTGAAATATCATTTATTCCAACCCCCTCTTTTTATAGATGGAAAGACTGAGATATAGAACAGAGGAGTCATTTAACCAATGTCATCCAGTGAGCTTTGAGCCCATCCATCCCGGACAGCCTTCCCATATTACAAATAACATGTTTTAGAATGCTTTGGGGCAGCTAGGTAACACTGAATAGAGCTCTGCATTTGGAGTCCAGAAGCCCTGAGTTCAGATTCCATCTTAGGCACCTACTAGCTGTGTGACCCTGGACAAGTCACTTAACCTCTGTTTGCCTCAGTTTCTTCAACTATAAAATTGGAATGCTGTTAGCACCTACCTACAGCATTGATGTGAGGATCAGATGAGATCCTATTTGTAAAGTGCCTATCACAGGATCTGACGTGCTGTAGGTGCTTAATAAATGCTTATTCTATTCCCCTTGTGTTATCTGCTCGAGGTCATATGGCTAGTCCATGTCAGAGTTAGGATTAGAACCCAGGCCCTGTGACTCTGAATCAAATGCCCCCCCCACTCCCTTCCAAGGCTTCATTCCCATGGTTTGTGTGCTCACCTGCCAAAGATCATTTGGAAGTTCTCTTTGAATTTCATAGTAGAGAAAAATAATTCTGCCAGGGTAACTTGTAAATGTGGTTGCTAATTTCCTCAGGGTGATTTAGCTCTCTACCTAAATGTCTCTTTCCCTTCTGTGACCTCCCGGCTTAATCAGAAGGATCAAAGTTAAACCAGGAAGCGTGAACGATGCCTCTGTGGCTGAGCGTCTCCCCTGGTCATTCCACAGTGCTTTAAGATCACAAGGCTCATTTCCTCTGATCACTGTCTGATAGGTAGTGTCATTATCCCCATTTCATAGATGAAATAGCTGAGACTCAGAAATGGACTGGCTTCGAGGCCGGGATCAGTTTCAGCGTTCTTTCCTTCTCTCATGCAGAGTGTTTCTCATCCATAGAGACAAAGGAAGACTCCCAGCCACCCCCCCGCCCATGCCCATGCTTTTTTTGCTCTTACCTACATCTCTGCCCTGCCTCCATGTTGGAGGATCTGTAGACTGGGGCTGTGTACAGGAGTGCCCTGTCCAGTTCCCCATGCCCTCCCCAGACCAGAGAAATGAGCTTCTCGGTAACTGTAGGAATTATTGTCTACTGTGGGAACGTATGTAGAATCAGAATGATCCCACAGTGACTCATCAGAACTCAAAAACAGGAGTAGAGCGAGAATTAGAAACAAGCCCGGCATGAGTAATCCATTCTCTTTAGATTTTATGATACAGAAGCAAGTTGAGATTTGGTCACTGAAGAAGATTTTGGTGAGGGCAGTTGCTCATAGATTGCCTGTCAAAACCATTCAACTTCATTAGCTGGAAATGCCCGGAATTTGAGTTGTTCAGAAGGGGGTCATGGGGAGGGGGCAGCCAGAGAGGAGAGGGGAGGAAGAGGAGGAGAAAGATGCTGCCAGAATTCCCAAAGCCTTTCTTTCCCTTGCACCCTTTGAGAGGTGACCTTGACAGGCCTCTAAGGCTGTCAGGTACTGGTTTGGGAGAAGACTCAGGCTAAATCATGGAGCCGCGTTGCTTGGAGAGAGGGAGGGGAAAAAGAAAGCTGCTTAGCACAAAGCGTAAGATGATCTGGAGAGAAACAAACAAGTGACGCTGCTTCTGCTGCAAATAATTGCAAGAGACACTTATGAATATTGCCCAGTAAATCTGCACCTTCCACAAGCATTCATTTCAGGGGAGGATTCCACAGGATGGAGCATTGACAACACATGTCTAATAGGTGCATTCATTTTAATATGCTCATTCATTGAACAGGCCTGATTAATTAGTACATGTCACCATCTGGTACTTAGTGAGACTATTCATTTTTAAAATGTTGAAATTGCAGGGAATGGTGAACACCAATTAAATTCCTTTTAACTGGATTATGTTGGTATAAAGCATACATGTAGGAGGGCTTCATTGGAATTCAGCGTGCATCTAAAGGTACACACACCAGCCTGAAATCAATTAGAACAAAAGAAGTCAGGGAGAGAGAGAGAATATGCATGAATAAATATCTCTCTTCCTCTTCTTTCTGTGTTTCTCTGCATGTGTATATATCTCTCTTTTCCTTTGTATCCATTTCTCTTTGTCTCCCTATGTGTACCTTTCTCTGCCTTTCTGTCATTGTTTCTCTGTTCACCTTCATCACCCTAGTCTTTACCCTCTCCTTTTTTCTTTCCTCCCTTTTTCTGTCCCTTTCCGTCGTCCATGTTGCTTTTACCCTTTTCTCTCTCCCTGGTCTCTCTGTCCCATTCTCTTCTGTCTCTTCCCCTGACCTCAGCCACACTCCCTTATTCTTTATAGAAGAGTGTGTTACAGTGGACTGTGGTTTGGTGAAACCTCAGCTACCCAGAGCCCTAGGGAAAGAAGTTCTTCTAAATGTATACATACATGCATGCTTACATATATACATATATACATGCATATATCATGAGGCTTATCCTTTTACTTAATAAAACTTTCTTTTCATTTTTTTAATCACCTATGTCTACTGTTTCCCCCCACACACTTCCTCTGGGCTGTAAATAAAATTTTAAAAAGAAAAACAAGTTTGGAAGGAGAGGTGGCTTGAGCCATGGGAAGGAGCCTTCCCCCTTCCTCCCCACCCTGTGTCCTCCCTATAGTTATTAGCAATAAAAGGTCTTAGAAAACCTCCAGAGCTGAGTGCTCTCTTCAGGGCCAGAGGCAGAGCAGTCTCTATAAGGCTAGACTCCATTCCCCAGCAGACTGAAAAAGAGAGTGTCTCTTGTCAGCTGCAGTAGCCAGGAAAGTGGGTAGGCTAGCCCCTGAGGACTTTAGGAAAAATAAGGATGCTGAGGCATCAGCCCCGAATCCAGGAATATCCTGGAGGAAACTGGCTTCCAGAGTGCCTGGCTTTGGCCGGTAGCCCCTTGCCCCAGACCACAAGAACCACGGCCAGTGGCTCAAAGGGGAGAGACTCTCCCGCCCCCGCCTGCCTCGTGGTTGGGGGCAGGAGGCCACAGTTCCACCACAACAGCAGCAGACGTGTTTCTGGCATCCCAGGACAGGATACTGAACACATTTTCCCGTAGAACCATTGCTGTGAAGGGGGATTAGGTTCCATTGTACTAACCACCAAGTATAATGTTTTTCAAGCGAAAAAGGCATTCTAGTTTGAAAGCAAATGACTTCCCAAAAAAGCTTTTGGAGCACAATTTTCCTCAGTTCGCTTAAAGCTTTTCATGTTGACTTGGGGTTATCATTGAGAACATCAGTGGGGGGGGGGGTGCTGCTATGTGGTACAGTGGGTAGAACACCAGCCCTGGAGTCAGGAGGACCTCAGTTCCAATGTGGCCTCAGACATATAACACTCACTAGCTGTGTGACTCTGGGCAAGTCACTTAACCCCAAATGCCTCACCAAAAAACAAAAACCATCAGTATCACTGGGCTATAGGTAGTGATGTCATAAGATTATAGATTAAAGCTGCAAGAGATCTTCAAGGTCATCTCATCCAAATCCCCTCATTTGACAGAAGAAGAGACTGAGATCCATCGAGGTTGAGACTTATTCAGGGTCATGCTGGCA